CGTAGTGCATGAGTTTGTGTGTGTGAATATGAGTGTGTATGGGTGTTTCCCAATACTGGGTTGCAGCTGGAAGGGCATCCACTGTGTAAAACATATGCTAGAATAGTTGGTGGTTCATTCTACTGTGGCGAACTCTGATAAATAAGGGACTAAGGCAAGGGAAAATGAATGATCTTTGAATGATGTACTGTGGTTTTGGGAAGACTGGTTGAGAATTGCACATTTTTTTCTGAGTGAACTGTCCCTTAAACCAAGAAGTCTCCAGTCGTCTGAAAGACCCATTCTGAGTTAAGACGTTCCTGTATTGGCTTTAATTAAATACTCTTTAACATTCATGGAAAAAGATTCTTTAAATGTCCTTTAAAGAGCGTCTCACTGAAAAGGTCACTCTGACAACTGTTTTAAGAGGGGCTACAATTTTGAGGTGTGTGTGTGTGTGTGTTTGCGCGTATGTGAGTGTGTGTAGAGTTTTCCATGCTGAATGTAAATGAGCAGCTGTGAGTGTGTGTGTGTGTGTGTGTGTGTGTGTGTGTGTGTGTGTGTGTGTGCGCATATGTTTGTTTGTGTGTGTGTGTCTGTGCAAGTGTGTGTTTTTGTCTTTGTGTGTGTGTCTCTCTCTCCCTCTCTGTGTGTGTGTGTGTGTGTGTGTGTGTGTGTGTGTGTGTGTGTGTGTGTGTGTGTGTCTGTGTGTTTGTGTGTGTGTGTGTGTGTGTGTGTGTGTGTGTGTGTGTGTGTGTGTGTGTGTGTTGTGTGCTGATAACAGTAAGCTGAGGTATTGTGGGATTAGTCCAGAGCTGAACTGCTATTATTGATTAATATCTCTGCTCTGCTGATTAATGTTCTTCAGCAGGAGACGCTGTGACTGGAAAGAGAAGTAGAGATGACTTCACTGCACTTACTGATCAAAACTATTCATTCATACATTCATTCATTCATTCATTCATTCGCCCCATCTTGTCGCTTGATTAATTTATTCATTGAATCTTTCACTCCATTTATTCATTTGTGCCATTAACAACATTCATTCATTCACACCACTTATTCATTCACTCACACCATTCAATCAATAATTTATGTATTCACTCATTCATTCACATATTCACACCATTAATTTGTTCAGTCATTTATTCATTAATTACTTCATTCATTTATTTACACTATTCATTTACATCGTTCATTCACTCACTCTGTTCACTCATTCATTCATTCATTCATTCATTCATTCATTCATTCATTCATTCTCACACCATTTAATCAATCGCTTGATTTATTCATTAAGTCAATAAATCATTCACACCATTCACTCATTAATTAATTAATTAATTCATTCATTGAATTAAATCATTCACACTATTTATTCATTAATTCAAACCATTCATTCATTCATTCATTCATTCACACACATTATTCATTTATTTATTAACGACATTCACATATTAATTTAATCCATTCAATCATTTAATATATTAAATTATTAATTAGTTTATTCATACTATTTATTTCTTCATTCATTTATTCACTCACTCTCTCACTCATTCACTCACTCTTGCACTTACTCACTCATGCACTCACTAGTTTAATCCATTGTCATTGAATCCATTGAGTTTGTTCGTTCGTTCGTTCGCTTCGCTCGCTCGCCCGCCTTCATTTCATTCCAGACCTGTAAAGCCTTGTTTACACAGACTTTTATCAGTCGCAAGTATTATCAGTGTTTTTGACATATTTCGACATTCATGCCCAATCGAACTAAAAGACTTATGTATAAAGTGTTTGGAAATATTATACATTTTTGCATTAAAAACTATAGAAGCGTTTATGGCAGTAAACTCTAAACTGTTTTTGTCTGCATTGATCAGTCGCAGACCCTGCCATGTGTTTAAATTCTGAAAGGTCAAGGAGAGTTTGTTTTGATGCTCTTCTGTTTCACTTGCTTCAGTAATTCTCCGACCGCTGTGTTGTTGTAGTTCAGTGTTGTTAAGGTGTGTTTTTTGTTTTATAGATTTCCTGGCAAGACTCTGAAGGGCAAAAAATACAAGCCTCTTTTCGAGTACTTCATCAAGGTAAATGTCCCTGCGGATTCATCATTCATATCCACTGGCCTGAGCGCAGACTGATCTTACTGCTACAATGAAATTACAACAGTAATTCTGTGGGTTCACAACAAACGCAAATCTTACAGGCAAACACTCCAGTAGATTACTTTAGATTGTTCAATTAGATTTCTCAAGATTACTCTAGATGGCTCAGTTAGATTACCCTAGGTTATTTAGATTACTTTCGATTGCTCCAGTAGATTACTCTAGATGGCACAATTACATTAAACTAGATTTCTCATATTACTCTAGATTGCTTTATTAGATTACTCTAGATCACTTAAATTACTCCAGTAGATTACTCTAGATCACCCAATTAGATCACCCAGTTAATTTACCGTGGATTATGCCAGTAGATTACTCTAGATGGCTCAATTAGATTACCTGGTTTGATTTCTCAAGATTGCTCCAGTAGATTACTCTAGATGGCTCAATTAGATTACCTGGTTTGATTTCTCAAGATTGCTCCAGTAGATTACTCTAGATGGCTCAATTAGATTACCTGGTTTGATTTCTCAAGATTGCTCCAGTAGATTACTTTAGATGGCTCAATTAGATCACTCAGTTAGACTACTGTAGATTACACCATTAGATTACTCTAGATGGCTGATTAGATTACTCTAGATTACTCCAGTAGATTACTTGGTTAGATTTCTCAAGATAACTCCAGTAGATTACTCTAGATGGCTCAGTTAGATCCCTCAGTTTGATTAATGTAGATTACACTAGCAGATTACTCTAGATTTCTCAATTAGATTACTCTAGATTACTTCAGTAGATTACTCTAGACCGCTCAATTAGATCACCCAGTTATCTTACTGTAGATTATGCCAGTAGATTACTCTAACTCCAGTAGATTACTCTAGATGGCTTAATTAGATTACTCAGTTTGATTACTGTAGATTACTCCAGTAGATTACTCTAGATTGCTTGGTTGGATCACTCTAGATTGCATAGTTTGAGGTGACCAGACTCCACATTCATCTTCCTCCGTAACTTGTGACTATTGCGTACATTGTGATGTTGATGCTGATGTGATATTTTGTGTGTCTTTCTCAGTGTAAGGAGACCGGTGCCTTCTCGGTAGTGATGGATAATTATGTTCGTGATGATGACGGTACAGGAGTCGTCCATCAGGCCCCGTACTTCGGAGCTGTAAGTCACTTTTGCTCTTGACATGCATTAAAGAGTTTGTTCATCCAGAAATTGAAATTCTGTTATTAATTATCTGTTATCCAAAAATATAGTCTAAACATTAGTGTGAATACAACTGTAATCATACAAACTTATTTACTCATTATTTTTGTCCTCCTAATAGTTCATTATTTTAATTGGTACTCAAGAATACTCTGTGAGATTACTGTAAGCTATTCAATTAAATCACTTTAGATTACTCAGTTAGAATACTCTGTTTGATTACTCTAGATTAATCAGATAGATTACTCCGTGAGATTACTGTAACCTTTTAAATTAAATCACTCTAGATTACTCTATTAGATTACTGTAGTTTACTCCATTAAATCACTCTGGATTACTCAATTAGATTACTCCAAATTGCTCAGTCTGATTACTTTAGATTACTTGATTGGATTACTTAAGATTACTCTGTTATATTCCTGTAGATTACTCAATTAAATCACTCTAGATTACTCTGTGAGATTACTGTAAACTTTTCAATTAAATCACTAGATTTCTTGATTAGATTACTGTAGACTACTCAATTAAACCACTTTAGATTTCTCAATTAAATCACTCTAGATTACTCAGTGAGATTACTCTGTGATATTACTGTAAACCTTTCAATTAAATCACATGAATACTTTATTAAATTACTCTGTTGGATTACTGTGGAATATTCAAGTAATCACTCTGGATTACTCAATTAGATTACTCTAAATTGCTCAGTCTGATTACTTTAGATTACTTGATTGGATTACTTAAGATGACTCTGTTATATTCCTGTAGATTACTCAATTAAATCACTCTAGATTACTCAATTAGATTACTTTAAATTGCAGTTTGATTACTCTAGATTACTTGATTAGATTACTCTATTAAATTACTTTACATTACTCAATTAAATCTCTCTAGATTACTCTGTGAGATTACTGTAAACCTTTCAATTAAATCACTAGATTTCTTGATTAGATTACTGTAGACTACTCAATTAAATCACTCTAGATTACTCAGTAAGATTACTCTGTGATATTACTGTAAACTTTTCAATTAAATCACATGATTACTTGATTAAATTACTCTGTTGGATTACTGTGGAATATTCAGGTAATCACTCTGGATTACTCAATTAGATTACTCTAAATTGCTCAGTTTGATTACTCTAGATTACTCCAATTACTCTAGATTACTCAGTGATATTACTGTAAACTATTCAATTAAATCACTTTAGATTAGAATATTTGATATTACTCTGTTATATTGCTGTAGTGTAATTATATTATATTTCAGATTACACTCTTGGATTACTCTAGATTACACAATTAAATCTCTGTAGATTACTCTAGATTATTATATTACTGTAGATTACTCAAATGAATCACTCTAGATTACCTAATTAAATTTGATTAATTACTGCTTTAGATCACTCTTTGATTTAGATTACGCTATATTACTCTCTTAGATTGCTGTAGATTACACAATTAAATCACTATAGATTAATCTAGATTACCTAATCAGATTACTCTAGATTACTGTTATATTATTGTAGATTCCTCAGTTAAACGACTCTAGATGGCCCAATTGGATTAGATTAAATTGTTCTGTTTGATTACTCTAGATTAAGGGCTGTTTTAGATTACTCACGATTACTTGATTAGATTACTTTAGATTACTCTTTAATTACTCTAGATTACTCAAGTAAATCCCTGAAGAGTATTCTAGTTTACTCTTGATTACTTGATTAGATTACTCTTGATTGCTTGGTTAGATTACTTTAGAATGCTCAATTTGATTATTCTAGATTGCTTGTTTAGATTACTAGATCACTCTTAATTAGATTACCCTAGGTTAATCGTAAGATGGTTTTGCCCGTTCTTCGGTGTTCAACAGAACTGCAAAGTGAAACCAAAATCTTTGTTGCATTTATAAGAAAACAGCACACATGAAGAGCAGAAGACGTTCTTGAGCGACTGAAGAAAGTTTTGAGGTCATTAAAAACAGCCCGAAGCCCAGCTGAAGCGCTTTATTAAAAACAGTGTCAGGAAGAAGCTTCAGGTCAGGAGCTCAGATATCAGACGTGAGCTGGAGTTTGCCTGAAGGCCCGAGCATCTGATGAAACTCTGCTCTTCTTCTTCTTTTTGTGCTGAATGTTTTAATGCAGTGAAGGACAAACTGAGCATGCTCAATTTCTACAGTCATACAGAAACACACAGAGACAAGACAGGATTTAATACTGGGTCATTTCAGGGCTGCTTGATTATGCAGTATGGTCAATATTGTAATCACGATTATTTAAAAAGATTATAAGGGGGCATATTCATGTGTATATATATTTATTTATATTCATAGATAATAATAATAATAATAATAATAATAATAATAATAATAATGATAATAATAATAATGAATAATAAAAATAATTAATATTATTTTTATTTATTTATTATTATATATTTTATTATTTTTTTTATTTATTTTTATTTTATTTTATTTTATTTTATTTTATAAATTTCAGCGTGTGTTGATCTTTTCAGTGTGTGCTGTTCCGTTCCGTGTGTGTTGATCTTTATTGTGTGTTCTGATAGTCTGTGTTGATCTTCAGTGTGTGCTTGTGTGTCTGCAGGATGATTATCGTGTGTGTATGGAGTATGACATCATCCAGAGAGACTCCGCCCCCATCTGCCCGGTCGACCCATCTGGCATATTCACTCCGGAGGTCACACACTTCGCCGGACAGTATGTGAAGGTACTCACTTGTTCACTTCTCTGAGAAGCACTGCACACTATTGAGACGTCATAAAGGTACAGTGACCTAATAATCACAATCATGTTTATGACAGATTTATGACAATAGCCCCTTTCACACATACAGACTTTCTTGTCTGTATCTCCAAGCACTAACACATGCTCACAATTATCAATCTACAGAAAAGATGAGGGTGAGTTGTTTTGTCTTTTGAAGAAAG